CTCTGATACAGCGCTCAACTGCACACAGTGGCGAATAGCATGAATGGTCCTCTGATAAGGTGCGCAACTGCGCACAGTGGCGAATAGCACGAATGATCCTCTGATACGGTGCACAACTGCGCACGGTGGCTAATAGCACGAATGATCCTCTGATACGGTGCTCAACTGCGCACAGTGGCAAATAGCGCGAATGGTCCTCTGATAAGGTGCGCAATTGCGTACAGTGGCGAATAGCACAAATGGTCCTCTGATACAACGCTCAACTGCGCACAGTGGCGAATAGCATGAATGGTCCTTTGATAAGGTGCTCGATTGCGCACAGTGGCAAATAGCGCGAATGGTCCTTTGATAAGGTGCTCGATTGTGCACAGTGGCAAATGCCTCAAATGACCCTCAAATACCGCGCTCGATTGCGCATAGTGGCAAATGCCTCAAATGATCCTCAGATACAGCGCTCGATTGCCCATAGTGGCAAATGACTCAAATGACCTTTAGATACAGCGCTCGATTGCGCACAGTGGCAAATGCCTTCAATGTGGTACAGACTTGGTAGTTAGACGTGATGTGCTCATGACACCCAACATCGGAGCGCAATGTCACACTTAAATTCAAGTGTGCATACTCGCGGTTGGATCATTATGCAGAGACATGACAATTCATACTCTATTCAAGTGCCCATTGGCACAGCTAATCACCCAGCTTAAGTGCTCGTTGGCACAACTCATTATCAAGCCCTGTTTGAGTGCCTATCGGCGCAACCAAAAACTATGACAAATGTTTGCTGAATATGGATCATGTAGCCCTCGACGGACTCAAACCCAGGCATAACGAAGCATGGCAGGGTTCACCGCATGACTCAGCATTTAATGGTCTTCGTGCTCAGAGCAGTTGATCGCACARCACCAGCCCTTAAGTGTGGTGAGCAAGGGCGCATAGTATCAACTGTCCTAGGCACAATGCGAGTGAGTTCCCAATCTCAACAGTTTTCAGGCACGGCGTTTGGGGCACACGGTGTCCCTTGAGCACGACAAGCCCGAGTGCTCAGCACCTGCTGCCCTTGGGCACAGTGCGTGCAGGTGGTCAAAGGAAGATCAGAACTTTGCTATGAGCCAATGGGCTCGCGAGGGATTAAACAGACCCTGCACATCCGAGTGAGAAGGAGGAAAGAAGGGAGAGCGAGCAGGGAAGCAGAAAGAAGATGATAGGGGGAGAGATGAGGGAGAAAACAAAATGGTCCTTGTGAGACCGCCTTATTTTCCCGAGCACCCCTCCTTCCCTTTACCTCCTTCTTGCATGTCTTGGTCGTCCCTCCTTCTACTTGCTTTAACGCAGTA